CTGGCCTCTCCTCCTGCAGGCCCCGCCCTCCCCGCCTGTAGCCCCGCCTCCGCGGTTTATGTCCACTTTCCTGGCCCGTCCTCCGTCCTCTCGGCCCCGCCCCCTCTGGCCTTGCTTGTGATGAACACTGTGGTTTCCTAGCAACCCAAGGACGCGGTCGGTTGGCGGGAGCACTGGGCTGGCAGCCAGCGGCGTGTGGACAGAGCATGGCCTCAGCTGAGACACTGTTAGGAGCTGGGGAGGAGGACGAGGAAGAGATCACGGCCGCCTCGCTGCGGGGCCCGCAGAGACAGCAGCCCATCTCGGCCATGTCAGCCTTCAGCTACGTCCCGCCGAGGCGCCAGGACCCCAAGGAACACAGCTACTTCAACAGGGAGGCCAAGGTGGGGGTGAGGCGGGGCGGGGTGGTCAGCGGGGAGGGCGGGTCATGGGGGAGCAAGTGGTCAGCGGCAGTGGGGTGAGGCGGGGCAGGACAAAGCAGTGAGCCTGGAGTGGTCAGTGCCCAGGCCTTAAGAGGACAGCTGCTGCTCCCTCCAGGCCTCTGAGGTGGGCAGAGGTGTGGCGTGCAGACATGAAGGCGCCGCTGAGCCGTCTGCCCTGCCTGCGGCCAGTGTCCAACCTCAGCACGGAGACCGAGCAGAGGGGCACTGGAAAGGTGAGATTTCTGGGAAGGGCCGGAGGAGGCAGGCTGGAGTGACACTGTGCCACCGCTGCTGGGAGGGTCCCTGGACGAGGCCGCTGAGGACAGAGGGCAGGGCGCTGCCCCTGACGTTTCATGCTATCAATGTTGATTCATCTTAATATTGGGGTGGCCTCGGGGCACTGGATTTGGGGATCAGTGCAATGCTGAGGCTATCCTGGGAAGTCCTTACCCATCCCTACTCCCAGGGTGAGAGGGACAGGGTCTCAGACCCACCACTGCTGTAACCTGGAGGGAGGGTGTTGTCCACCACAGCACAGGGCAGACACGTGGACCAAAGGGGGTGCAAGCAGGCTGGGGACTGGCGGGGTGGGGGAGCAGGGTGCTTCCCTGAAGGCATGCAGGACGAGGAGCGCTCAGGTCCGGATCCTGGGGTGTTTCTGGGGCCGGGCAGCCCAGCCGGGTTACCCCGAGGTCACACTCCACAGCCCGGCTTCTCCAGTTACACGCTCACTATGCAGAATGAAGAGACGTACAGGAAGGATACAACCTGAGGCCCATTTTCTGACTTTAAACCACGCCGAGTTCCTCACTCTGCTCATCCCACAGCTCTTTGGTCCAAGGCTGTTCACGTGAGCACAACTAAGTGTCTGTGAACCCATTCTTCTCAGTGTAAGCCAGAATTAGTTACAATTCAGGCAAGTGCCTGTGAGTAATCAATAAAAATACACGTAAACATCTCCCACATCCATGTCAGTACAAAGACAAGGAAGGAGGAGGAGACCAGAGCGGTGTCAGAGGAGATGGAAGCCTCAGGTCAGAAGGAGGAAAGAATGGAGCTGTCAACAATGATCTTGTACTCGGATCCATAATCAGCACCCAGGAAGCTGTTGTTGATGATTGCAGCCGAGTCGAAGTTCACTCAGAGTGACTCTTTGAACAAAAGACCTGATGCCTTTCCATAGCTATCGTTGTTTCTCCAAGTTCATGGAGTTTCCGGAGGTGTGTGGTTTAGGAAGTGGATGCCACTCCTGCGTCCCAATCTCTTTACAACTGGGAGCTCCACCAAACACTGTCCACAAAGGGAAACCATTCTGGTCTTTGATACTGCAACGGCACAAGGTTCAGCATCACAGCAACAGGTTACTTCATACAGCACATTGACAAAGAGTGACGTGCAAAGCGGAAGAATGTTCCTCCAGATATAACAGCACTAGTCTCATTCAGCAGTGGGTAAGGGTCGTTGAGTCAAATACGACTCAGACTAAGCTTTGCACAAAAGACCTGAACTGTGTTTTATAACTAACATCATTTCTGTACATTTATAAGAGAGTTTGTAGAGTTGTTGTTGTTGTTTAATGCCGTCGAGTCGTAGACGACTTATAGCGACCCTATGAATGAATAGCCTGAGCACTGTTCGTGCATAGAGTTTCCGGAGGCAAGCCATTTTGGAAGTGGATGCCGCTCCTGCTTCCAGGCTTGATTTAGTGGGGAAGCTCCAGCCAACACTGTCCACCATGGGTGCCCATTACCACGATTGGCACATCACTGTCACAGGCTTCAGCATCACAGCAACCACGAGTTACCTCTGTACAGCAACGCACAGACCAGTGCTATACCACCTAGAAGAATGTTTGACAGGAAGACAATTTGAACTTGTAGAGTAGCAGTCATAATGTCAGAAGGTGTGCTGCCTTGGAAAAGCCAGCTGTCAGAGACCTGCCCACCATGGTAAAGAAGAAAGATGTCAGATTGAAGATGAGGGTGCACCTTGTCCAAGCCGTGGCTTTGTCATTTGCTGTCCATGCATCTGAAAGCTGTGCAATGGATGAGGAGGCCTGGAGAGTTGATGTCTTTGATCTGGGGTGTTGGGGGGGTCCTGTGGACTGCCAAAGGCGCTCTGGTGGAGGCAAGGGTGAAACTCCGTCTGGCATACTTTGGGCTTGTTGTCAGGGGGGCCAGTCCTCGGAGGAGGCCAGCATGTTGGGAATGGTAGGGAGTCTGAGAAAAAGAGGAAAAGTCTCAGTGAGATGGACTGATAGATTGTGTAACGGGGGGCTTGAACAAGCCAGGAATTGCAAGGATGGCACAGGCTAGGACAAGGGTCAGATCTGCTGTAGATCTGCTGTTCCTAGGTGGTCATGGACTTGACAGCAGCTGACTGCCTGGTGGGGACAGCCCACCTGCCCCTCAGCCCCGGGACGCCTGGCCCCTGTCCCTCAGAATCACCCTCAGTGGGATTCACCCTGAGCAGCTGTGACCAGGGCTTTAGATTTCTTTTCCTGACAGGGCTTCCGCATATCCAGACTGTTAGCAAATAAAAAGACAGACTTGTCCATCACTGAGATATAAGATCCATGTCCCACATCCAGTCAGTCTGAGCGGCTCTTCTGGGCTTCAGGGGTTGTTTCTCTCCTTCCGCTGTGGTTTGAAGCGCGATGGTTTAGTAAATCAGGGTCGATGAGATGTGTCTCAGAACAGAACTGGTCAGCGTGCCCGGTCCTACCACAGGTTCACAGGGGGTGGCCTCTGCTTCCAGCTGACGCTCCCTCAGAAATCAGAGCGAAACAAAGCCTGCTTTCCAGTTTCCTTCTACTAGGAAGCCAGTTAGGCCTGCATGGCTTC